TAATTATCCGAAAGCACTTTCGTCTCATGAAAAAGCCCTTGAAATTTTGCAAGAATCACTTCGTCCCAATCATCCTCATTTGGCTTATTCGTACGGGCACATTGGTTCAGTGTATAACCACATGGGTAATTATCCAAAAGCACTTTCATCTCATGAAAAAGCGCTTGAAATTTGGCAACAATTACTTCCTCCTAATCATCCTAATTTGGTTGCTTCTTACAACAGTATTGGTGAAGTGCATAGAAGCATGGGTAATTATCCGAAAGCACTTCCATCTCTCGAAAAAGCCTTTGAAATTCAACAACAATCACTTTCCTCCCAATCATCCTAATTTGGCTTCTTCGTACAACAGCATTGGTAATGTGCAATCTAGCATGGTAAATTATCCAAAAGCAGTTCCATATTTTGAAAAAGCGGTTGAAATCAGCCATCAGTCATTTCCTCGCAGTTATCCTAAGTTGGCGTCTTTCCACACAAACATTGGTGAAGTGCATTACAACATGGGTGATAATTCAAAAGCACTTTCATCTCATGAAAAAGCCCTTCAAATTTAGCAACAATCACTTCCACCCAATCATCCTGATTTGGTTGGTTCCTACAACAGCATTGGTTTAGTGCACTTCAGCATGGGTAATTACTCAAAATCCTGTATATTTTATGAACATGCTGTACAAATTGAACAACAATTATTACCTTCAAATCAGCCAGAACTTCAAAAGTAGAGAAATAACCTCGAATGTATAAAAGACAAATAATAAGTTGGATTTCTTTGAACTTTGGTTTTTGAAAAAGAAATTTATTTAACAAGAATAGAGTTGCTTTAAATACGCGCGCGTACAGAGAAATTGTTTTTGTTGAAACATAAATGAATGGTAGCACATATCAGTAAGCTAAACAATACGTATCAAGAGTCATGTATTGTAGAAAAAAACCTTCACGATATATAATTATTGTATCTGTACAAGGTAGAGTTTCTCCGCGTTGGATAAGAAAGAGTAATGCTACCCAACAGGTTGTTTAAAGCAACGAAAAGAGAGAAAAGAACTGTATTTATTCAGTAGTATGAATTTTTTTTCTGTTGCAATAGATAGAATAATTCATAGTAGAGAATAAATAAACGAAAGATAGAAAAATAAATGATTCGTATAGATACTAATATAACATGGAACACATTAGTATGTTAATATGAATAGAAAAGATCTCTCAAACCAACTCAACTCAATTGAAAGAAATGAAATAAGTATACGTCTTATTGTTCATGTAACTCAGAAGAGTCATTATATGTAACATACAATGAATATGATGACGAACGGATTATATTTATTCTAATAGCATACATGTTACGACAGTCAACTCTTATCGTAGAATGAATAAAAACAGTGGGTGTATTATTGTTACTTTCTCACACCCACCCTCTTGCTGAATGATATTAAACATTATTTGTCTCATTTCAGTTTATAATATTTAGTATTTTGTATTATACCTTCGGAATCAAAACATTAGAGAAAAATTATGAATTTATCAGCAAAGTTGCATATGAACCGATTCCCTATAAAACATATCTATTTTAAGCGTGTTTTTATTAAATTTTATTTGTTTAAATTAATTAAAAAAGTAATAACTACAAAGAACGAACGAACGAACAAATGTGTAAAAAAAAATTTATTTCATTTCAATTTTTAATGGTAATTGAAGTATTTGACCTTTTGTAAATTCAAGATTCTATAAATAGAAAAGAAAAAGATATTTATATAAATAATTTTTAAACAAAATAAAATGTTTACTTCGCCAGCATATGATATTAATGGTGAAATTTCAACAAAAATTCCATTTGAATTACTATCATTGTCATGAAATTTATCGGCTCTAGAAAAATAAAGAAAGTAAAATATGAGTAGTCTTCTTTAAAATAGATTGTCATACAAGATAATTTGTTTGGAAGTATTTGGTGGTAATATAGCACCAGCTGCTTGAAGCCAACGAACATGTTGAAGCATTAAATCTCGTCGACATGTTACTGCTGTATCTTTTGTTCCTGAACCATTTTTTAATGGTGAAAATTCATCATCACGACGTGCTTCCCAAACAAAAAAATTTCTAATTAATAAAATAAGAATTTAATATATTTTCAATAATTATTTTTCGATATTTACTTTGCACACGAAAATACATCGAAGACAAATTTTTCTAATTTTATTCCATTAATTTCAGTTGGTTTATTGATACGTTTACCATCTGTACCAATTGATGGAATTTTCTTTTTTGCAATATGAAAACAAAGTTTATTTTCATGATTTCTAAAATTTGAAATAATTAGAAAAGAAAAATAATTAAATTGATTATTTAATTCTACATACTGGCAAACATCTCGAAGAAAATCAAAAGTAAAAAAATGATTGCAAATATTCCCAGCATTAAATAATAAATCTCCACTATCATCAGATTTTGTTTTTTGTGCTGTTTTTTCGGAGATTTCAGAATATTCAACAACTTGAAAATGATCTCGTACTTTACATATAACACCGACAGCTTCATCAGGAAATGTTTTTTTAACAACCTAAAACAAGATTTACTTTAGAAAATGAATATTAGCGAAATAATTTATACTTTGGCAGCACATTCAGCTTTTTTATCTAGACAAAATCCGATAAATACTGGATCAGCAACACGAACAAGAATATTGTCCACACAATAGACATGAACATATTTGATATCACGTTTTTCCATTTCAGATAGCATACCACGTGTTTTTAATGCACGATATAAACCACCATTGCCATCAGCTGCTTTAGTTAATTTGTGTTTATCATCAAGTAAAATTTTTCCTTGAAAATCTAATGCAGGTAATGTATGTTGTTCAAAAAGAATTATATTTTGTGGTTTTAAACCAAAATAATCATGTTCCATAAAATAATCTTCTGTTGATTGTCGTGTATGTTCACTTGTCATAATAAACCATGGAATGGTTGCTTTTTTAGTATTGAATTCTTCATTAGCTAATTGTTCAAGTCGACGAATACGTTCAGCTTGAATATGATAAAGTGATTTTTTTGATGGTAAACCAACATCATACATTCCTTTTGGATAATCAACACCTATAACAAAATTTAAACTATAAGTTTAAGAGTAAACAAAATATTTACCAAGACGAGTTCCTTGACCTCCAGCAAGTAATAATACACATACGGAACCTTCGGCAATAGCTTTTAAACCTATTCAATAATAAATACGAAATTTTATGTATTAGTTTATGATATGATTAAGATTTCAACTAACCTTCTCGACGATAAGTTTCAAGTTGTTCTTTACTTGTTTTATCAACAGATCCAGTTAAATGTTCAGGAATAGGTTCCATAAGTCGATCAATTGTTTCACCATGTTCATTCTTATCAGTAGATGTTTCGATTAATTGATCTTTAATCTCGTCAAAAGCTTCTGTAATACGTTCGAGATCAATACTGTTAATATCTCGAAGAAGTATTGCTCGCTGTTCATGATCAAGTTGATCCCAATAAGATAATAAATGTGATTGATTTGAATTTTTTAAGCGAAGTGTAATACTTTGATCGATATCCATCTAAAATTAATAATAAATAAAAATGTTCTAGTTTATTTCGTAAATTGAACTAACTAGGCCGATGAAATAATAACAACTGATCGATTGACTAGAATTTTATCCGTCCGTCGATCTATATAAAGATATTCTTATATGCTTTGTGTCTTTGTTCATGTTGAATAAATGTATAGTCAATTGAATATTTTGTTTAATATAAAGTAAAAGATCAAGTTTATTTAATATTGTATATGTACTATATAGATGGCGTTAGTTTTGAGATTATCATTTTTAGTAATATATACCATTCTTCATATAAAAAGTGAACAAAACATCTATACGTATTGTTTTGTGATATTCTAATATATGATAAGTGCTACTAGTTTTTATGTTTGAGAATTTATTTCAAAGAAGAAAAACTCTCCTGTTTGATGTCTTTATAATATTTGTCTTTTATCAGTAAATAAGCAATTGAACAATCATTGTTGACCTTGATTCATAATTTATTATCATTCATTGTCTTGGGAACACTATGTATAATAAATCGTAAAACATCATCAATATTCCGTCAACGTCGATGATCAACATTGCATATACAAACTTATAATAGTTTTTTTTTGGTTCAAATCTATTCATATTTCTTATTTTATTTGCATATAAATGACGTTTCTATACTCATCATCATCATCATTATTATCTCCCGGATTATATTTTAAAATTTATTACTCGATATTCTCCACTTTCATTATTTCTTTTATGAATATAAGCTGAGTTCTTTTTGTTCTGTTATTTTTTTAATATAGAAATAACAAAGGTAATCGTAGGTACTATGATGAATTATTGATCGATGTCATATTTTTCTAGAACCATGACGAACACATAACGATCAAGATCGGAATAATTTTTGGTCGACATGATTGGCGGTAGTAAAGAATAGAACTTGTAAAGAAAGAAAGAGAAATGAAAGGAAAGGACCAAAAAAATAAGAAAAACTGCATGTATGTTGGATAAGGCGGACGGAACAATTGTCATTTTTTGTTGATCTCCTGCTCTATTTCTCCTTTCTTTTCCTTTTTCTTCTCTCTCGTTTGCACTATATTTACGAGCTTTTTTTTCTTGAGTGATAGCAGTTGTTGCATATAGTAGACTCGACACTCCATTATATACATATGCGTTTTTTGCATGTTTATATATGAGTTACTAAAAATATAAATGAGTTAATTAAGTGAAGTAGAGATAAAATAATAAATTAAGTAATACATGCTTGCGTTCATATTAATGATGCTAGTCATCTGAAATATCACACATAAGGTAGCTGTTAGCAAATAGACATCTGTATACTCATATGCTATCCAGATTCTACGCTTTCTTTTTATGATGCACACTCGAGTATGTACTATGGAAAATGATGCTAATGGAATGCGTAGGAGAAAATAAAAATAAATGAGGAATTAACACAATGAGATGTTTTGATTATCATTCCTATCGATTGCCCTCCCATTGTCTGATATTGAAAGGCATAACCTTTTTTTTTTATCTCTTATTCGTTTAGTTATTAGCCATGATATACGAAGACGTATTCATATTTCTACAAATTTTTAACAATAATAAGAAAGGTATGTCAAATGAAATAGAGAAGAAGAAATTCATTTTCGTGTAACATAAGAATTTCTAATTCTTTTATCTTTCTTTCTTTTCAATAGATTTTCAATGAATATTACTACATCTTCTCCTTCGTCTTCTTCCATTGATTCATCATCAGTAGTTGTAAAAGAAGAGAAAGAAGAGGAAGAATCAAAAAGAATAATAAATGATCAAAAATCTTCAACATGTGAATTAATCAAAGATCAAGTATTTGAAGTTGGACCACGTTATACTGATTTAAAATATATTGGTGAAGGTGCATATGGAATGGTTGTATCAGGTAGTGATAATCGAACAAATCAACGTGTCGCAATTAAAAAATTATCTCCATTTGAACATCAATGTTTTTGTCAACGAACATTACGTGAAATAAAAATTTTAGCAAGATTAAAACATGAAAATATTATTAATATACAAGATATTATACGTTCTAGTGTTTTTGAACAAATGAAAGATATTTATTTAGTACAACAATTAATGGAATGTGATATGTATAAATTAATAAAACATCAAAAACTAAGTAAAAAAAATTAATTTAATAGAATTTTATCAGAAATGTGCTTTTTTTCTGTTCTAAAGGTTCAGAACATGTTTGTTATTTTCTTTAT